GTAAGTCTGCTATTAATTAAAAGCTATGTTTAAGGGCAAAAATATTTATTTCAGTCAATTCCCAGCACATGATGACTATCGCAAATGGGAAGTTACGTTTTCTAGCAGAGTAATTTACACTTTTTAAACAAAAAAATCCCAGGAAAAAAACCAATTATTGAATGTGTGGCTGGTTTTGTTTTGATTTTTGGGTGAGGTTTTTCTGTTTAAGATCTACGATCAGAAAACAGAACTACTGAACCACCTCCTTTCACTCATAAGAGGCATGAAATACAGCTTTCCAGAAGAGTCAAGCACTCATGTCACTGTTAACCATGAAAAAATCCCAGACCAGAGCACGTAAAATCATTGTATCAGCTCTGTAACAGAAACATCCATTGCTACAGATCTCATTATCAGTGAAAGTGGGCAAGCTGAAGTCAGGAATCGGTCAAAAGAAGCAGCTTCTACAAGGTAATGCACTTTAAGAACAGCACTATTCTGAATATATAAATAAGACATCAATAAGTAAAACACTGTCTTAGGTTATGTGAATCCCCCAATAACACACATTACTGAGGTTCTCCTCTTACTGTACTATCATTTTGCTTGCACATGTGAGGATATAAATCACAGAAGAGTAAGTAAAATAAGATGCTTTGCCCTTATTTCATTAGGGTTTCTACGCAGCAGAGATTTCTTACAGCCTATATTAAAATGTAATTACTTTGTCTCCCAGAGTTCTAAAATACATAGCTTGTATATATTGAAAGTGGTTTTCATCTTTGTAAACACGAAGTAAAAGAAGGGAGTGGCAAGTTATTCACATTTTCAGACTTCACCGTTTCAGTTCTATCAGTATCTCCTTCCCGGAGCAGCACAACCAGCCACAGCAGCTCACACAAGGCTTCCTCCCGCTCCAGCTGAAAAGCAGCTGAGGGATGAGGGAACCATCAAGTATTTGGCATGAGAGTTTGCGGCAGTAATAAGAGCCTACAAGCACAACTCAGCTACTGGGAGCAATCACAACTGGAGCAGGCAGCTGGGCCAGTGCTCCACGAGCCACAGGCTTGAAGTGTGTCAGGAATCTTATGAAATTAGACATTATATAACAATTTCTAATCTGAGCACCCAGAGCTAGGTCACCTTCTTTTTACCATTTATACACAACACAGATGGCCCAAACACAAGCATACATAAACCTCCTTCTATTCAGTTATATACTGACATATATATATATATACACATATATATAAAACTATACATATTAGCATAGCTGTACATATATGTACGCAACGATATCTAAAGCAAAAATTAAAGCCAGAACTATCAATGGATCAGACAATAAATCCACAGTTTTTTAATAAAGCCTATTAAGTCATTTAAGACTGAACCAATAACGGCATTAGGTCTACCTCAGCATTCAAACTGGTTTTACTGCTTAAAGCGGCCTGAGCGCTCTTCATAAATACGTTCAGTGAAGCCAATGGTGTGCTGGCCAGGGCATCTCTTACCCAAAGTATTGCTTCCTGTCGATTTTCTGCTCCACACCATTTGGGGAAATGAAATTGGGCTTCATCTCACCAGTTTAATTGTTTAAATATACAGAGAAAAAAGGTAAGCCTGGATACTCGCTTTATCTATTTACTCAACTAATCTAGGTGGGCTATTTTTAGCAGAACAAATTTAAATCAGAGAGCTGTCCTTAGGAACTATAATTACCTGGAAGCTTTAGAAAATCTGGGGCTACACTGCAGGACCAGATGATGGGAAAAGACCACAAAACATAAAAGCACAGTGTTTAATAAGAGCTCTGGCTGGAACAGGCAAGTGAAAAAAAAGCAAGGTGAAGTAAGGTCTCACACCACAAAACACAACAAAAGCAAAGGGATAACGATGACACTGGAAGGAGAGCACCTTGTGGTGCAAAGTTCATGTCCAAATAGCAGGCTAAGGAGAAAGAACATCACAAGAAGAGCTCATTAAGTTTGCATAACTTGCTTTTAGTTCCTAGGGAAAAAATTAGTATTAATACGGTCAAAACTTATTATTAGACTAAGGTGTCTGTGATATCTCATCGATTAAATTTAATAGCATTAATTTTGCATGCAACTCATAGATCATTCTCTAAATGCAATGCCAAAAATCTAATTGAGTCTTCATTAAGTGATCAGATGGGAAATGGGAGCTCTTTCCCCACTACACAATTCAAGGTTAAGCTGCAGCTCACCAAGGATTCTAAAGAACTGCCACAGACCCTCACACACACACACATTAAAAAAAAGGTCTGTATTTTATTCATTCCAGCTTCCCCCCTTATCATCCAGCTCCTCCCTTCAGCTTACCAGTAACCTTGAAAGAGGGAGGGAGGTAGAGCTACTACATAAAGACTTCTCGGTGTAATCAAAGAGGCTTAAGAAAACGGAAATTATTTCAAGCTACAACTAGAGTATCCTACCTGCCTATGCTACACTATTCTAAAGTTTAAATTAAAGTCAAATCAAACAAGATGCATTTTCTGCCACCTGTTTGTCATTTCTGTGATATCAGCATCAGGACAAGAAAAATCCTAGCCTTACCTGAACAGTTTAGTACCACGGCTATACGGGGCCACCTCATTGCTATTTGTGTGTGGTGTTGGAACAAATGTACCTTCTAGGATTTCATAGCTAACAAACAGACTTAAAAAAAAGTGGGTAATTTAATATACAAAAGACAACAAAACTGGTATAAAACAGCGGAGTAGAAAAGGCACTGGAGTTTATCACTGCAAAGAGGGTACACTACTACTCACAAAGTTAATCAGGAAGATAATCCTGCTTACAGTCATGATCTAAAGTTAATTTTTCTTAGTACAGAATCAAAAAAGCCCTCCGGTAATGCCAGGCAACAGCGGGAGATTGCCAGAGGCCATCGATGCAAGAGGGCAGAGAGGAGGACAGGCAGGCTCCAGGCTGCTGCAGCCAAGATACAAGTGGCAAGGACAGGGTGAGGGGAGCGAGGGCGACTGGGCACCATGCTCTGGCTTTTAAAAATTCATCTGGTGCTTTGGTTGAATGAGATCACTGCTCTGGGACATGGATAAAAGATATCTCAAGCATGGCTGTTCTGGTGGTTAATGGTATGCTTTTTAAAATTTTATTTAAACATTAAATTCAAGAAACGAACACCTGTACTTCACAACTCTCCAGAAGCCCACACATGCTTAGAAATTGCATCTTTGTCTCTTCAATGCTTTGTTGTCTCCTCGGTTCTTGTTCTTTTTTTTTTAGTTCTGCACCCACTCCAAACTGTGTTCTCTTTTGTGTTATTCAACAGAGGAAATATTACAAAAATCTAAGTCAGAAATGTTCTCCTCATCACTCCAAAGCTGTACATAAAGATTCAGCTTTAGTCATCCTGTCCTCCAATTATGCCTCAAGATTATGAGTTTCTTATTAGAACATTTTCTCAGCTTAATTTTTTCAGCCAGAAATACATGTTTTCCAGGAGAAAAAATTTTGTACAGGTAGTATTTTGAGTCTCCCCAAATCACTGATCCATTACTGATCTAAGCTGAAAAGACACTTTCATTTTTTCACTGAACTATTGATCAGGTTAGGTCAACCCCAGCAAGATACCCAGAGTGCTAGAAACCCATACACAAAGAGCTGGAATGAGCCACGATATTTCCGATCCCATATAAGGAAAGAAACTTAGAAAGTAATATTTAAATAGCTTGCTGGACTGCAGACTACTTGTACTTCAGCAGACCATGTACTGATTACAGTGAAAAAATGAGATACCCACTTGCAGAAAACAAAGAATGATTTTGAAAACAGTTTCTTTCGCTTCTGCCAACAGCCTTTTTTATCTCAGGTGCACTCATCTGACAACACTTTCTATTCTGACACACTCACTCAAACAAGTTGGTAGCCCTAGGGCTGATCGATGATTTCTTTTTTTTTATTTTTTGTTTTAAACAGACGTAGTATCTTTTTCTTAAATAATTACTCAGGTTATTGTCCCATAATTTCTTTTGTTCTAATTCTGAACATCCTAGTCAAACTGCTTGTGAGCTAGGAAAGCGAGCTGGACAGATTCAAACCAGATTTCCATGGCTCACGAAGCTTTGCTGCTCTGCTCCATTTTTTTTTGCCTGTACCTAGAGCTCAAAGGAATCACTCTACTCGGGAAGCCAAGGGAGGGGGCTTCCAGGGAGCACCCCCCAGCCTGTAAGGCGGGTGAGGGGGCTGGGGCGCCCTGGGAATCCCAGCCTGCCGTTGCCATGGCTACCCCAGTTGAGAACCAGCCTGCGGATGCTCCGTGAGGAAGCGCTGATGGAGCAGGGAGGGGGGAAGACCCCTACATAGGGGTAAATGCAGAGGGGGTCGTGCGAACCCCTGCTCAAGCTGAAACAGGCTCAGAGCCTTCCAGTCATGTGAATACAAAAGAAAAATAAACACAGGTTATGGCAATTAAGGTGGGCAGAGCAAATTGCAGAAAGCCAGGGGAATTTAAATATTAAGGGTGTCAAATATCAACTTTTGCTTTGCCTTTAAGGCTTTTGCATTCTCTGTGGCAGGAGTGGAGAAACAAACCATTTTATACACACTCGTACTTTCCTAAAAGCTAGTATTCACAAAAGTTACAGTGAAGTTTTAATAAAGAACATGCATACAGGCATGCTGATTGCTGACTGGCGTGTACTGTGTTCTCTGGCTCCACTCCGGTGGTGGAGTATTTGAACTACCCAGGTGCTCTCTGAAAAAGCTTTTTATTATTATTTTCTCATTCCCTACAGTCTAGTTTGTGAAATGAAAAGAAAAACAAGAGTAACTTCCCCTCATAAAAATCTTGGAGATATAGCTCAGCTAATAGTTACCTTTTGAGATGTTGGTATCTGACTAGTTTTCTGCTACACTTCTTTAAAATAGACTATTATGAGATTTGTATTGAAAATCAATCACTATGAGCTCCAGGTAGTCCTGGCCTCCTTTTGTGTTACAAGGCCCATCAGTCAATCTGAAATAAAGCCTCACCATTTGACTCGCAGCCTGCGCCCTGTAAATTCTGAATGCATCGTGCTGCAAGTCCCAAAGACGATGACATCACTCGCCTCCGTGCGGGATTTTTTGAAGGTAAAAGCACTATGATTCCTTTTAGCTATTATTTCAAATACTACAGCTAAAATGTGAGTGTTGTCCTCGCAGCAACGGTGAAATAAAAGGGACGGGAAGAAGAATAGTTTTTCAGTCATGCCACTCCAGCAGTAATGTTTTTTCCAACTAAGCTTTCAGCAGTCAAAATGGGAAAGATTACAGACATGGAGCCTGCAATTCGATTCAAAAAGATCTTTGTTAACAGCAGCAATGAAAAGAAGAAAAAAGCCCACAGAATTCCTCCACTTAAAACACAATCTCAAAACATATGCTTGCAGTCCTGGAAATCTTTCAGAGATTCAGTGTGTTAAACAGCTGCAGCTGAGCTTAGAATGAACATTGCAAATAAATGCTAATGAGATGCTTATAGATCCTGAACAAATTGATTTACTCAGATCTTGTCGAGTGTCTCCTATCAAGGGTTTGTCAGAGTAAACAACCAAATCCTTATAAACAGAAGTGACTCATTCATTACAACTGGAAAACGAAAAGAAATAACAATCCAAGCTTTAGTCCAGGAAGACGATAAAACGAGCTACACACACATGTTTTTTAGCAAAAAAGAAATCCTACTTTTGAAAACACCATTAGATTTTCAGGCCTCTGAAGAACTTTGTCAGAAAGAGACATAGTGAGGGGTATTGGTACAAACACACACATAGTTTAGCTCAGCAGATAGTCACAGATCAGTTTGCAGTGCCATAACTACATTTAAAACCTCAAGAAACAGCTATCAATATAAGAACTGCCCATACTAAAAAAAATACTTAGATAAAGCTTTAGAATAAACCCATGTAAATCAGATGTATAATGAGCTCATACTCACATGCTGAATTGTTTTATTGGACATTGTTTCAGTAAAATCTGTGTGTAACCAACACCTTGAAAATCAAATAGGTAGTAAACCCATTCTCTTAGAAGAAATCTCCGTGTTTCAAAGATTACCTCTGATTATGAACAATAAGTTATGCAGGAAGACAAGTGAGGCAAAGCTTCAGCAGCTACACACCAGAATAAAAAAAAATATGTGTAATAAAACTCAGATGATTACACAGTGTTATAACTGTGCAGAATGTAAAATTTTTTGGCTAGTCACCTATAAAATGAACCTTCAAGACCTTTATAGTGGTAGGCAGGGAAGGTGGCAACACGGAGCCTTTGATTGAGAACTGCCAAAGAGTTTCTCTTACAAAACACAAGACTGAAAAAGTGAAATTCACAGAACTGGGATAAAAATCAAGGATCCATTCATTAATATGAATGGTCTTTGGGTAGCTTGCCCCCAAAAATATTAAGTAGGAAAAGCAAAGAAAAGGCAAGAACAATTCACCCCTTCACTCTTTCATTCTCCACAACTCCACTTAACGAAATCCTGGCTGCTTTTAAGGGAAATCAAATTCACCAGACTCATCCTCCTACTCAAGCGGAAGCAGCCCCAGAGCATGGCTGCAGAGGATGCACCCACTCATGGAAGGGGACTTGCAGAACATCTTCAGGCAAGGCTAATGTACTCTACTATTGCCAGATACCCCGCAGCCACCTGCTGCTACTCACAGAACAATTTACTCGCAGGGAAGCATCCTCTTCCTACTAGAGGAAGGGCAGGACCATGGCGTGGGTCTTTTCTCCCCAGCAGCTGTACCACAGATCTCCATCACTGACACCTCTGTCACTTGCACAAAGCAGAACAACATCAGCTGACAGTCAGAGAGCAAATTCCCTTTGAACTAAACAAATCCAACTCCTCCAAGGTTTCAGATTTTCCACTAGGACCAGGAGAGTACATCCAAAATAAAATTAGCAAGTCTCCAGATTTTCTATGCTCCTCATTTTAAACAACTTAAAGTAACTTCAACATTTCTCACAGCAATGTTAGGAGAAATAAACTCAAGATTTTCCCCAAAGAGACACAAACCTCACAAGTGAACGACAAATGCAGTTCTAGTAACTGCAAGCTGCGAAGCGGAAAAAAGAAATCTATTGGGGGAATTCTCTTCTATAGTGAACACAAGAGGTTTCTACTGTACTATGTGCACAGAATTGTCAGGAAAGTTCCTGTTCTCATTTCATCTCGTTCCCGTGAAGGTGCACTGCTGTTATTTAGTATCTTGCTTCTGCATCCCTTAGTCTCCTTTCTGTTAGTTTTTAAGTACAGACTACTGTAAGTCAGTAGCAGCCTGCCCTCTTACAGAGATCGTGATCAATGGGCAATAAAGAAATCTTTTTAAACTTGAGTTACATACGGAATCAGTGCAAGGATGCAGAAATAATCAGGAAGCTCTTGTATCTTCCTTTACTACTTCACAAAGCCCAAAGTACAATACAGCAATACTACACAATGGGATGGGCCCTTTGTGAGAAACACTTGTATTTCTGCAAAACAGCTCTTCAGGGCAAAAAAAGATTATCGTAACTGACTCCCTGATCCCAGCTCCCAACTGTGGAGCTTAAAAACAAATCAACTCACTGTTACAGACACAGGGTCACCTACAATTTCAAATACGCCTTGACTAGACTGATGTTGGTTTACTATTTTTTGGATTCTTACAAGCTGAAAAAAAACATGGGAAGGGGGTTATACAGTTATGTACTTCCCAAAACATTTAAGACAACAAAACCCCTCAACTCTCTTCAGGCAGTGGCTCTCATCATCTCGTCAGGCAGGTCTCCCACCAGTAACCCTAGTTTTGAGAAAGGCAAGACTAAGACAGCAAGGAGAGAGTACATAACATTAAAATAGGACAAAACATTTAAAGTAGTTGACCAAATTCCTCTCTCAACCTGCAGGCAGTAGTCAAAATTAAAACTAACCTACATCAAATTTTAGAAAATGTCAAAGGAATCCCCAAACCACATCCTGTAATGAAGTTACAGGCCGCCATACAAAACCTCACACAGTACAGAGCAGTACTCCATCTCCATGAGAGGTAACAAAATAGTCCATGTCACAAAGAGGATGCATTCAGCTAGTGAAGGTGCAAAGTTTGCTGCATGAATTCAAGGTATCCACAAAACCATCTCATTTTAGAACCAACTTCTGCTCTCCCCCATTCTTCTTGGCTTGGAGTTGTCTCAGCACATCCCAGGGACAGCAAGATATAATATAAACTCATGAGATGCATCCCAAAGACTCTTAGAAAATGCTACTACTTTAAGCTGTTGAAAATAACAAATCTTCCTTTCCTAACGCTGGACAATAATCTCTTTATTCCAAGGTGTGAGCAGAAATAGAAGAGACTGTAAAGAGGGGCAGAATTTCTATTCATTGCTGACAGCTGCCTTGCTGAAGCTACCAACCTAAAACATCCATGTTTGCTTGCATTAGTTTTTCCACTTCACTTGCTTTATCTGGTTAATTTTTCTATCCTCTTTCATCACGATTTCATGGTACAGATCGAACAGAGCAGATCTGAAGGTATGCAGCACAAGCAACAGATGGAACACTGCAACTGCCTTAGTCTGTCTTCAGCTGTGATCAAAGACAGGAGGTAAGAGATGGTGGCTCTGAAAACAGGTCAAATATATTAAAAGCAAGCTTATTCTCTTCTTTCAACAGTCCATATATTATCAACTGTAATAACTATCCAAAAAGGCACCAATTAGCTTTCCAAAGGGACTTTTAGACTCTGGAAAATGACGAGACCACTAACAGGTGAAAAGAGACCAGGGGAATTTATAAAATAAGCCCAAATCAAATAATTGGATTTAGCTGTCAGCTTGGATATTTTATTATTTATTTTTAAACCCCACAAACAAACTTCTGAGAAAGAGACTGAGATTGAAGTATGAACAGGTATTAACTACAGAAAGAAGACAATCTTAAAGAAAGGCTAAAGCTTAGAGAGATTTCCATTTAAAGTTACAAACATTCTTAAGGATAGCTAGCAAGTTCAACAGGTTTTTATAATTTAAATAGCATTTTATAAAAACAGTTAAACTGTGCAACTGTATCAGCATTAATCATTTGGTAGCAGCAGTTTAAATAACAGTGCTTTTTGATACTTCCATTCTCCACAGAACAGTAATGAGATTTTAACCATAAACAAAATAGAATTGCCAGATCTGGATTAACAATGCCACAACACACTCAAAGGGAACATTATTTCTTAACTCCTGGACACAAACTGAAGGTTCCTGAGAGCTCTTCGTTTCCCCATGATGCCATTTTGACTTAAAAAAAGTCTTACTGAAAAAGATGAAACTATTATTTAATCAACTGCAACAAAAATAAAAACAAACCAAACATGCAAGCGTTCTTAAATAAGCAAGATGGAACCCCAACACAAACACTTTTAGCTTTCCACACTCAAGAAATAACAATTCTTAAAGGTTGAGGTTTTGTAAAATAAAGTAGCTTTGCAATGCTGCAACTGAATGGTTGACACAGTATCAGCTAGAAAGAACTTGCTGGGAGTCAACATATTTGCAGCTATTTCCAAAGTCAGACTTCCCTTTCCCAGGAGAAAAGCTGCTCTCTAAACTCAGACAAACGTGTACCTCGAAGATCTGCCTGCATTAGGGTCCCCCAACCCAACCCAACCCACAACTTCAACTCCATTTAAGTTAAATCTGTTTCTATCAGTTGAACCACTTTGGTATGTCGCTTTGTCCTTTAAGTGGACTAGAGTAAACACTGCCCCACACTAGAATGTAAGTGCTTGATATTTAAAGAACACTTCCAATCCCACAAGTCTATTTCTCTTCTAACAAGTACAGTTCAGCCGCACATAGCTCCAACTTTCTCTCAGGCATTTCAGACTTGCCCATTCTTTTGTTCCTCCAAGAAAAGAATTCACAAAAGCCTAATAACTCACTCTTCAAGAGCAGCACTCCAAAGTAAGATGCAGAACATAAATGGTTTAAAGTCTGTATTTTTTTCATTTTAATTTGCGTCTTCAGGGAAAATTTAAATAAAAGCAAAAAATGCAATATCTGTGAAGCTGCAGAGCA